TTGAAAGTAGTTCTTGGGGAGGAACGTGGTTCCAAAAGCGGGTAAATTGTTTCACCATCATCTTGGCATTGAAATTCTTCTTCTTCAAGTCACCGTCGGTTATGGTAACAAAGTAAAATGAAGATGTATTTGGCCACATCTATATGCATAAAAAGAGTAAAGGTTTGCAGGTGGTAAGCAATATTAAAGGAAAGAAATGTAGGAACCTAGGAGAGCAACGCAGAGGCCTTCTAGGTATAAATTTGGGTTCAAAAGGGATTTAATGTAAATAAGAGGTTTGGAAAGCCAAAATGACTTCATTTTGATGTGCAGTGGAAGGAAGAAGAAAAAAAGGGAATAGGGGATTTATATTTTACAGTGGCTGTGGTATGTCATTTTATTCAGGAAAACTAAAAAATTTAAAAAAAAAATGTTTTCAAGTCCAACAATGTCAAAATCGCAGAATTTTTTCTTTATGAACTCCGCCTTAACCCACTTAAAACTGTTTTCTAAAGTTAAATTATTGCTACATAATAATTCTAATTATAAATATGTAAATAAATTGTTATAATTTAAAATTGGGACATCAATTTCTTGTGTTTTCTTCTTTTGGTTAATATAAATACTAAACATGACAGAAATCATTTAAATATTCTTTTTATTCCTCAACGCAAGTCAAAAGGGTAAATGAATACAATTAATGATGAATGTTTGTTGTAATATAAGATATTAGGTTTCAACTTTCATCATATGAATAACGCAAGAACGAGCAACTCTGAAAGGGGAAATAATGGATTTTATACATAGCTTATTAAAATAATTTCCCTCATAGATTTGTAAAATGGTAAGAAGTATAGGTCGGTTATTACTTTATATATCACTCACGCTGTGAATTCTTCCAGAAGGGTAATGATTTTAAGGAAGTAAAGGAACACCGCTGTCCATTTTCAAATCTCACCCTAAATAGGGTTTCCTTGGGAGAAAAAAAGAGAAGCATATGAATTCAAAGGGTTATTGAACATTACAAAATTAGGGCCTTACCT